ATTATCATGATCTATATGGTATTGGCTCAGCTGAAGTGGATAACGATCTCTCTACCTACAGAGCATATATATCCGCGGAACGAAGAATACACCTGCAGAAGCAAAGGGAGTACAATCATCGTTATTTTACTGCCGATTCACCTAGGAAAAAATTTTAATTAATACGACGTGTCCTGGGGAACTAGAATCCCCAACTAGTCTTACTGGCTATGCCGACAGTAAATTAAGAATGGTTCTAATTAATATTCGATCAATACGGAATAAGACTGATGAATTGTATTTGTTTTTGGAAGAGTTAGGGTTTCCCCAAATAGTTGCTATTACAGAACACTGGTTACAAGTTGGTGAACCAGTTTTTGTCGAAAAATATACTATCGTCAGCAGATATGATAGAAGTAATACAGACCATGGTGGAACTCTAATTTTATCCTTAGACAAGGACTTTTCTGCTGTATCTAAATACGACTTTCTACAAGCTGAAAATTTCTTCGAATTTTCCATTGTAAACAACAAAAACATTGATTTGTTTATTATTTGTATTTATAGAACACCTAAATCAAATGTTCACCTCTTTCTAGAGAATCTTCTTAATCTACTTGACGCATTGCCTATAAAAAGTAAGAAAATTTTATGCGGCGATTTTAATATTGACTTTGCTAATGTATGTGCTACTCAAAAGTCTTTGATCAATATTTTTGAATCATTCAGTCTCACTATGCACGTAAATTCTCCAACTAGAATCACAGAAACAACATCTACAATTATAGATTACGTAGTCTCTGATTTTAAACCCGTTGATGTAGAGCACCAAGTAATTAGCTCAGGTCTCTCAGACCACGAAGCAGTATTTGCCAAATTTTTGATACCCCGTACAGCTCCAAAAAAAGTCCGTCAGCTAGGTAGAATTTTCTCTAAGCATAATTTCAAAAATTTCTATAATTTATGTCTAACTACTGATTGCAATGGTCTTTCTGAAGATATTGACTCTAAACTAACTACTGATTGCAATGGTCTTTCTGAAGATATTGACTCTAAATTTTTAGACTTCTTAAATAAAATAATTATGTGTTTCAATACAGCTTTCCCCCTTCGCCCCATTAAAACTAAATGTCATAAATCTTGGACAACTAAAGGAATAAGAACATCATCTAAAAATATGAGGTCACTCATGTATATTAAAAAGTACACAGATAATCCCCTAATATTAAACTATATCAACAACTACAGAATATTGTATCGGAAAATCACCAAATCTGCTAAGAAAAACTATTACAAAAATCGCATCGCAAGAGCTAAAAACTCCTCCAAAGAAACCTGGTCTATAATAAATGACTTAAGGAATAAAACCCGTTCTTCAAACAGTGTAAATCCTAGCCCAGATGAACTAAACAATTATTTCGTAAATGTAAGTAAAAATATCAAATCTAACATAGCTCCGAGTCAGGATGCTCTCTCCTTCCTCCTACCTACTAAAAGGATCACTGAAAGTTTCTTCCTAAGACCAGTAGACAAGCATGAACTAGTGCAAACCATAAACAACATCCAAAATAAATTTTCCTGTGGAATTGATGGCCTGTCCACCAAAATATTTCTAAATATACCGGATGTAGTAATCAACATTTTAACTTCACTGATTAATGAATCCTTTGAAATTGGTCTCTTTCCTAACTGTCTAAAAACAGCTATAATAATCCCACTTCATAAAGGTGGCGACAAAACCAAAACCTGTAACTATAGACCTATCGCGTTATTGCCTACCTTATCGAAGATAGTAGAACGGCTAATGAAAAACCGTCTTTTGCCCTTTCTTTTCAAGCATAACATCCTCACAGCTCATCAGTATGGCTTTCTACCTAAAAAATGCACTAGCGACGCAATGTTTTCCGTTCTTAATGAAATATACACATCACTTAATGATAAACTTTTCACCGCTTCAGTATTTTGTGACTTCGCAAAGGCCTTCGATTGTGTAAATCATGATATTTTAATTAATAAGTTACAAATTTATGGCATACGGGGTTCTCCTTTACAATGGTTTAAAACTTACCTAGAAAATAGAAATCAACAGGTGCGGGCGAATGGTGAGGATTCTACAAATCTAGCAATAAGCAGTGGAGTACCTCAAGGATCAGTATTAGGTCCAATTTTGTTTTTATTATTCATCAACGACATCACAGACTTAAGAATAAGTGGTAGAATTACTTTATTTGCTGATGACACCAGTGTAACCTGGAATAATTCTAACATGCAGACATTACAATCTATCATAAATGAAGATCTAGTGACTATTAAGTCCTGGTCTGATTCGAATGGACTTTGTTTCAACACCAGTAAAACTGTAGCATTGTCTTACAGAGGTACTTTACAACCTATAACTTTAAACAATAATCTGATCCAAACGGTGACTCCAATCAAGTTTTTAGGTCTTTATATAGACGATTCTCTAAAATGGTCTGCTCATATAGATACCTTAGCAAAAAAATTATCCTCCGCATGTTTTGCCATTAAATCGGTTTCTAAAGAGCTGACTCCTTCTACTGCATTAATAACCTACTTTTCCTTATTCGAATCTCACCTTCGCTATGGTTTACCTTTCTGGGGTTCTTGTAGCTTATACCTTTTCGAATCTATTTTTAAACTGCAAAAAAGAGCAATCCGCTATGTATTTGGTTTAAGTAGTAGGACACATTGCGAAAATTACTTCAAAAATTTCAAAATTCTAACCCTTCCTGCTCTATTTATTTTCGAATCCGTCTGCTTAGTTCGCAAGCACATTCAAAATTTTTTCGAAAGACCGACTCGTAGATATCCTACTAGAAATTTAGAGACTGATGTTTATTTAACAATGCCCACTTCTGACCTATTAAAACATTCCATTACCTACAATGCCAAAAAATTGTATAATAACCTTCCGATGCAATTAAAATCTATAAATACATACGATAAGTTCCGAAGACTGGCTAAAGCTTTTCTTCTAGAAAGACCATATTACACAGTAGCAGAATTTTATAACGTACCTTAGACATTTGAGTTCCACATACAATGGCATTAATTAAATAATTAAATATTAAAGTTTAAATTTAAAAATTAAATTAGAATAATTATAATGACGGATATTGCATATCCATAGCAATTGTTATTCCTATTTTGTCTGTTTGTTTCTGTTTGTTTTTTCTGCTGTTTAGTTATTTTTATAATATGTTTAGTATTTAAGTTACACGCTTTGTCTATAAAATTTTTGTAAATTTTTTTACGACAATAAAGCATATCTCTCTCTCTCTCTCTGTCTATAAGTTTGCTTCCGATTCTCTCTAAAGTTTTAAAAAAGATTTATAGCTTTCTCACTTCAAATAAAATATTGCCCTTACACCAATCAGGATTTAGGAAAGGACACAGTACGACCACAGTTCTATGTCACTTAACTAATTCTATCATAACTGGATTGGATGATAGTCAAGCTTCAGCTCTTGTGTTGCTTGACTATAGTAAAGTATTCGACACCCTCAACCATCTGCTATTAATCTCTAAATGTAGTTACTATGGTTTTAGTGACAAGTTTCTTATTTTATTAAATCTTATCTTAGTAATCGTTCACAAAAAGTTCAAATAAATAATCAGTCATCTGCATTTGAGTCCATAAAATCAGGCAAACCACAGGACTCCGTCCTAGGCCCCTTACTCTTTCTTCTGTATACGTCAGACTTGTGTGAACAAACTCTGACATGTAAAATCCAGTTTTTTGCTGACGACACCCAACTACACCATTCATTTCATTCCATTAATGCAGAGGTAGCAAATAAAGCGGTTAATAAGGATCTAGCTAAAACAAAAACATTTTCTTTGGATCATAATCTGCATTTTTTATTGTGATACAATTTTTTATCCTTGTCTAGATTCAATAACATTTATAAGCCTTCAAAAAATTCAGAATACATGTTGTCGATATATATTTGGTTTACGCAAATATGATCATATTTCCCAAAGCTTTAAAGAACTTTGGTGGCTAAATATCAGTAATCTGTATAAGTATCATTTGCTATTATTGGTGCACAAAATAATACACACTCAAAGTCCAATATATCTCTCTCGTAGGTTAATTTACAGAAATCAAATGCATAATATTAATATACGCGAGCAATCCATGTTAACAATGCCCCGCCACACACATGCTATTTTTGAACGCAGTTAATATCATCTGTGCTGTTAAATATCACAATGAGCTAGACAATGATTTAAAGAATACCCATTCATATACTGGTTTCAAGCGTAAGCTCAAAAATATCCTGCTTCATCAACAACGATGATTAAATTAAACTGTGTATACAAATTGTGTAATTTTTAATTTAATAATAATTCAATTATTATTTATTTGCATTAACAGTTTAGTTAAATGTTTTTTTTTTAATTTTTATTATAGTATATTATAGTTTTTTGTTCTTAATATTATTTATCGATCCTGTTACTAAAAGGGTTAGATGGAAGAATAGTTGTAAGCTAAATCTCGCCCTTACATTGTATTTTTGTAATTTTCAAAAATTTTAATAAAGACGTTTTATTATTATTATTATTATATTATTGTCTATCATTTTTATTTTATACAAAACTTTTTTTAGAGAAATTTGTCAAAAAGTGCAAAATTTAAATGTTTAAGAAAACTATTCAAATTGTGATGTCATTCTCTATAATTATTGTTCTATTTATAATTTGTCTAAATTCGAATTTTTAAGAAAATTGTTCAAATAAGTTGTTTGTAATATTCTCTAAAATTTGTTTCATACATGATTTGTCTAAAATGAAAATATTTAAGGAAAAGTGTAAATGTTCTATGTTTGAGTTAACAATTAATTATTTAAAAAATGTTCCGAGTAAAATGTGTGTGGGAAATGATGTATAAAATAAAAATAACTGGAAGAAGCCTATTATAACTAGACAGGAAAGTCATGTGTTGAACACATCAAATGTTTTATCATGTTACTGCTTGAAGTCTTAAAATTATAATAAAAAAAATACAATAATTAAAATGTTTTATTAATTTTTTAAACTGTAACATGAAAATAAATCACAAAAAAAATTATTCAGGTCTGATCTCACCGGAACACCTGTTAGATTATAGAAGAAATGTACCTTATGTTTAAACAAAATAATTTAAGTTAACCTTACTTTTCTACCGTCCTGAAATAGTCTAGAGAACCTTTTGGATCTGGTTTTATTGTTTTTTCACCTTTTTTCCAATTAGCTGGACACACTACAAGAGATAATACAATTTTAACAAAAAAAAATGGATTCTATTAATTCAGTATTTATAAAAAAACTAAGGCTATATCGCCAGCCACACGACTGGTAATGTGATGTAAAAAATCAAAGATCATGTAGTGACAGGTAAATCGAAAGAATGTTTAGGTTAAATTTTGGACTTCATGTGTGATCATTCTTCCTTGATGATGTGATTTTATGTTTGATGTTGTGTTTAGTAAAATAAAGTGTTAACGCAAGCATTTATTAAATGGATTATGTATTTTTGGCCATCCATTACAATATTACTAATTTTTAAATGAAAAATTTCTTAGCAGATACTCCAGGTTACAATAATAATAAAATTTATATCCTATAATTCGCACATCTCAAATAAAACTGTATGTATTAAGTCACAATTTGTAATTTTTTGGTTTATTTAGAAACAAGGCTCTCTAGGGATCTACTTTAACACAAAAATGATTTTGTGGCTATAAGTGGTTATGACTCATAGCTACAAAACTACTTTTGTGTTCAAGTATATCCCTATAAAGTTTTGTTTCTAAATAAAGTAAAAAATTATGACTTAATAAAGTTTTTATCAAGATATAAGTTGAAAAACAGCCTTGTGCTGAACTTCGCCTTTTCATAATTTTTCTTCATTTTCTTTTTGTTATTGTAAATGTGTAACTGTGATGAATAAAGACCATTTATTATTATTATTATTATTATTATTATTGTATGCGAATAAAAAAAAAATACTGTAATTTTATATTCACCTTCTCCGTGTTCATCAGTAAATCTAATAGCTTCTACAATCCTCAAAGCTTCATCTACAGATCTTCCAATGGGCAAGTCGTTTACGGTGATGTGCCTAAGAATTCCATTTGGATCAATAATGAACATGCCTCTTAACGCTACGCCTTCTTTTTCTAATAAAACATCGTACGCCTTTGCAATATCTTTATTTATATCGGAAAGAAGTGGATAACGGATATTTCCCAGTCCGCCTTCCTAAACAAATTACAATAGGTTTGTACTAGATTTATAAATTTGATAACATAATAAGCAGAATGATGAATATTGTTTAGAGACCAGGGGAAAAAACATAGACTTTAAACAGATAGGAATAAAATTAAAGAACATTATTTGGAACTATAGTGAAAGGGATTTAGATAAGAGATATAGTCAGTTTGTCATAAAAATATTGTCAGTTTTAAAGAAGTGCTGCTTCTATAAAACAGTAAAAATACGTAAGCACTGTAAAGAATTTTGGAACAAAACGATAAGTCAAGTTACAAAGGAAAGAGATGAAAGTTTTAAAATATATAGAAATAATAAAACTAGGGAAAATTGGGAAAGTTACAGACAGAAACGAAATCGGGCTGTACAAACAATAAGAGAAGAAAAAAGAAAATAATTAGAAAAGAAAATTGATCGTACCAAAAATAATCCAATTGAGATGTGGAAGACGTTAAAAGAATTTGTCCCAGATAACTCTCTTGTAAATAATTTTATTTCAATTAATATGGGAGATGGAAAAGAAATATCTAACATTAATTTAATGCCTAACTGCTTAAATTTATTCTATATTTAAAGTAATAACGGAATTATGGATCAAATTGACAAAACTTTTTTCCAAAGAGTATCCAATAATTGAGATAATAACAAATAACAAATTAGCGAATTTTAATTTAATTGCAATTGAAGAACTGAAAGAAAGGTAGTCCTGATGACATTAATGTTGAGCTTTTAAAAGAGTATTTTGATCTTATTTGTGATCCTTTAGTAAATTTAATTAACAGTTCTATAGAACAAGCAAGGGTCCCCATGAAATTAGCCACCATTATTCCTATACCTAAGGTACCAAATAGCAATAAAGCAATACATTTGAGGCCAATTAATATGATAAGCGCCACAGCCAAAATATTGGAAAAGTTATTTATGAGCATTGGAAGGAAATAGTTTGCTCTGTGAATATCAATCTGGGTATAGGAGCAAGCATAGCTGTGAAACTGCTTTATAAAGTGTATTGTTTGATTGGAAAAATAACATAGAAAACAATTTCATTATTATAGCGGTATTTCTGGACCTGCAAAGAGCTTTCGGGACAGTTGATACAGGAAGACTAATAACGAAAATTAGGGTGTTGGGATTGATGAGATGGCATTGAACTGGATAATTGATTATTTAACAAATAGACAACAGAAGTTAAAATTAAACCGAATATATTCCGATAAAATAGAAAACAATGTTGGTGTTCCACAAGGCAGTGTTTTGGGACCATTGCTTTTTTTAAATTTATATAAACGATAGAATTAACACTGCGGGTAAATGTAAATTTCGTCTATTTGCAGATGATGGTCTTATAGATTTTGCTTGCGATAGTTTACAAAATTGTATGAATGTCGTAAACGCGACTTTGGAAGAGGTTTACAAGTACTGTTGTACGAATTTGTTAAAGGTTAATGTGAGTAAAACGAAGTGGATGTTGTTGGGAAATAGTAAAAAGTATGAGTTGGGTACCAATTTGAAGTTAAATATAAGGATTGGGAATAATGACAGAGAAAGGGTTAATAAATTTGTTTATCTCGGCATAAGAATTGATAGTCAATTACATTTTAAAGTACATGCTAACCAGGTAATTAACACGTTAAGTCACTATGTCCACATTTGTTTACACAATTTTCAATCAACCGTATACCTATCAAATTACTGTATTATGGTTTATATTTTACCATGGACCCAAAATGGCATCCTTCATGAAAATCATGGTTGAGGTTTCGACATATATTGCTTAAACAAAGAAGTTTAGACATTTTATATATAGCGAAGGTTCTGATGTGTTAAAAGGTAACCAAAACATTTGAATACCAGATTTTTGAGTGAATAATACCTATTTATTTTGTGAAAAAGTGCTTGGTAAGAATATAATTTAATATGTGATTATGTACTTCAAACAGTTTTGTATCTGGAAACGTAAATTTGGTGTACATTTAGATGTTCTCAAACGTGGACAAAGTTACTAAACGTCATCATGATTTTTATGTTTCCATATTTTATTTGCATTTATAAAATCAAATATGGGAGATAAATACATATCTGGATTTACTATAAGGTCTAACCGATAATAAAATTTTGGATATGATAATGGCTGATGATGAGTTTGTAATAGATGATTTTTCTGAGGAGGGAGATGGTATAGCTGAATTTAATAACAATATACAAAGTGATTCCGACAACTCAGATAATCCCATACCGAAGAAATAGATGAATAAATAGAGCAATAAACTGATTTGAAGGAAAATGAAAGTAAAATAACAAAAACGTTATTTTGCAACAAGTACAACCTGACTCAGAAAAAAAAAATAAATATGTAACTTATCCGTCTCGATCAATTCTATGACATGAGGCTGAGGGCTCTGATGTACATGATGTGTCATCCCGGATAGAATACTACAAAAAGTATATAGTGTTTAATTACAAAATCTTGTTATAAAGTCACATTGTCCACAAATGTGGACATTAAATCGTTTGGGTGGGGATAGAAATTTTTGATTTTTTATTTCATCAAAAATTTTTGAAAAAATAGAATATTTTGTTTGAGAAATATTGTAATTTTAAAATGAAAAATGTAGATTGGTGACTGAAAGGGTTAAAACGGTAGAATATAAAATTAATTATTTGAGAAGATGTTCACCATACCCTAGCCAGTGGCCAAGGCTTACATTATATAATACAATCGTGTTACGGCAATTATTATTCCACTGTATTATAGCCGCTCGGCTTTAATGCAAACCTAACCTTAAAATCTCCGTGTCGTATCAGTCGTTTGTGTTTTGCATATTTTTAGAGAAATAATATATTGTTTTCAATTTTTCTAATTATTGTAAGTACACCACTGTTTGACATGATACAAAATGCGGGGTTAATTTGAGACACGAAAGAAGAAGGGATGAGTTTAGTTTTATTATTTCTAACAAGAAGTACAATTAATCTTAATGATAACCAAATTGATTTAGTTAAGAGCGTTCCGTTTTAAAATAGCTTTCTAATTGCATTTAAGAAAGCCGTTTTAAGGTAAAGTAATGAAATAGTTTTAAAACGCATAAATAACTGACCAAATTGTCCTAAGATCAAGCTAATAAGTTTTAATAGTCATATTAAGAATATCTTTAAAACTACCTAAAAACTATAACGTCACAACCTAGAACATAACAAAACTAAGCCATTTTAAAATTACAAGAAGACAAACAAACTTTTAAGATTAATTACCCTTATTAGCGAATCTTATTAGATACTTTAAAACCTTTATTAAATGCTAAACAGCTTTTTAGTGTCTGCAGTATATCTACAAGGTAACTTTAAAACCAGTATCTTCTTATTTACCACATTAAAACCATTTTAAAACTCAATTAAACCCAAAGTGTTTTTATGGTGCTACTTGGACAACGACCTGGCATGACCCCATCATCCTTTGCGACGAAATGTTAAGATTATTCAACTGCTGTGTTCAACAAACTACTAGGCGAAACAGATTTAGAAACAATAGTGAACCCTGGTTTAATGTGCGAATATACAATTTAAATTACTCGAGATTATCATTTCAAAAGGCATAAACAATTCCCTGACAGTGTTTATTTTTTTTATTTAATTCAAGATTAATAAAATATACAAATTATACTCACGCTTCTCTTTGTATTAATCCATCCCAAATGTGAAAAATGAGAATCTATTGAACATCCTATAACTTCAGCATTTAACTTTTGAAAGTCTCCAATCCTTTCATCTAAACTAACGAGTTCCGTAGGACATACAAATGTGCTAAAATAATATACAAGTATGTAAAGGACAAATTACAATCCTTTTTTTATTGTGATCCATATATTTAGGATCAAGAAAAATATTTATAATATGTATAATGAAGTAATATACAGAGTGAGACTAATATATAGAACGCTCCAATTATTTCGAAAACGGCTTGTACGATATTTAGGAAATTTGGTTTGTGGAGGGTTGTGTAATATGGCTGATATTCAAATGGTATTTTCGTTTTTGTCAGATCTTTCGTTTTTCCAAAAATATAACGTACTTTGTTATTTCAAATAGATCATCTGGTATATTTTATGATTTTTAAATTGCCTAAAAAATGCTGAATATTTTTGTTGGAACAATTTCAGACTTTGAAATAACAAAAATTGTTATGTTTCGGGAAAAAACAAAAGATCTGACAACAATGTAAATATAACTTGAATATCGACAACTTCCACATACCAAATTTCATACACATCATTCAAGCTGATTAAGACATACTTATAGTGTTCCATACAAAAGCCTCACTCTGTATTTATCATCGAATTTGAAAAATACCTCTTTTTTAGAGAACAAATATAGCATACACATATGAATTAAATTTTTCTGTATTACATGACTGTACTATATTATAAATATTGAGCAATTTAACTGAGGCAAATCATTAGAGAGATATAACTAAAGCTGAAAAATAATTTAAATAAAAAATAAATAAATTAATACTCAATGAGGACAAAACAAATGTGGTACTTATTAAAACCAATTACAACAGAGATGAAATGCCAATAAAAATTCAACTAAACAACTGTATATTTAAGGTCTCAATTAGTACCAAGTTTTTGGGGCTATATATAGACCTTTTCATCACATTTTTTTTTGTGCGCATGCGTCAGTTTCAGCCATCTTTTTCGTACTGTTTTTGTAAACAAGCTCTTGCTCGGAGTAAACAAGTACCTATGTTAAAATGCTTACGTGAAAAAACTTATAATTGATAAATATTAATTTAAGTCTATATTCATTTAAAAAAAGGAAGAAAAAAGTAAAGTAATAATAAGTTTAGTGACTTAATTGAAAAATACATTTTCACAATCAATTATAATTATGTTATCTGTACGGAAAGGAATAACAAAACAGTGTTGTTATGTAAAAGTGACACACAGTATAAATCATTCAAAGGCAATAGATATTATTTTATAAATTTTCCAAAGCCTTAACTGAAATATCGTAAACAATTATCAGGCAAAATCCATATTAAAAGATATTCGAAATGTGCATTAAGTGTGAAAAAATATGGTCGAAGTGACAACGGTTTTCGATGGATTAATGATGTTACTAAAGATACTTATATTTCACTGCATTTTCATGGAGAAAGTGGTCCAACAGAAGAAAATTCGCATGTGGTATTAAACAATATTTTTTAATATTAAATACTACTTCGGTATACACATTAAATGATTAAAAATGTCATGTTGATCCTCAAAATAATAAATAATTTATTTTATTAATTATACTCGTGATTAACTTTCATGCTAATTAAAGTGTTTTTGCAAGTAGTAATAGTTGGTTGGCATAATTAATTAGAATAAAGTTATAATTATTATTTGTTTTCATTAATTTTTTACAGAGTTAAAAAGTATTGATACACCTAACCTCTCAATTAGTCCACTTTGTTCCTTTGTAACAAACATCCAAGACACTTCAACCTCCTTTTCAACTGCTCACAACTATGCGCTTCCACAGAGTTATAAAAAAGTTATTCACTATCAACGATTTTTTCTAATGATTAATTTTTCTGTAGAGATAACATTGCTTTCCCAGCCATTGTCGATCAAAACAGTACGAAACTTTTGAATTACCGCTATTTCAACATGGTGGCTGCGCTTGCGCTCATCACATGATGAAAAGGTCTATTGATAGTTTTCAGTGCTGGAAAAGCCATGTTAAGTTTGTATGTAAAAAACTGAGCCAGATCTGTTACAGTATCAGAGTTGTGAAGAAATATTTGGAATGGGATAGTTTAAAAATGGTATACTTTGCAAATTTTGAAACCAGAATTAGATATGGGATAAAATTCTATGGTGGGAGCAATTCAATTGAAAGGGTCTTTTTAGTGCAAAAAAGAACAATGCTGATTATGCTCAATTTGAATATGAGAGAGTCGTGTAGAGGTAAATTTAGAGAAAATAAAATCTTAACTGTGATAGGCATATACATCCAGGAATGCTTAATTTTTTTATTTAAAAATAGAGGTTTATTTTTTAATTTTGAACCAACGAATGCTTATATATTGAGAAATATAAACCTACAATAAAAAGATTAGCAAATGTTAAAGTATTTAAAAGGGAAGTACATGAATTGTTAATTTAGAACCATATACAATTAATGAATATTACTCTATGTGATCATTAATATATTTTCCTTGACACTGTTTTGTTTAAGAATTGTCTTATATGTATTATGATTGTTCCTCAAAATAAAGATTATTATTATTAGACATAAATAAAATATCTATATTTTTTAATTTTTTCAATGTTTCCAATTTTTTATATGTTATTCATCTGAGTAATTTGAGATAATTTTGTACCATTACAAACTTCGTTAGCCTTATTGGGAAAATAAAATAAGGTAAATAATTTTATTACTTCAGATATCTTTTCTCAGTCAAAAAGCACATTTTATGCATACAAAAATAATGATTTAAACTTACAAGTCTAATGGATAGAAAAATAGAACGACAAATTTTCCTTTGTAATCGGCCAATTTAATTTGTTTGAAATCATTATTGATGACAGCTATTCCACTAAATTCTGGAGCAGGTTCCTGCACTCGAGGGCTTAAAAGTGAGGAAGCTAAAAAACAGTAACATTAATAATAAATCGTCATTGTGCTTAAGAAATTGCTTACTTACACACAACAAAGTTTCTAAATGTAATCTGTTTTGTTGGTCCAGCTCTCAATATACCAGGAGCCTTAAAACAATAATTTCAAATTATTTTAGATGAAGAACTTCAACCATATTTTTATTGATGGTTATTACAGAGTAACTATATCGGCATCCCAAACTAAATGGTTGTCTGATTAAGATGACACACAAACCTCAATTTTACATTGAGTTCAATGTTCTGTGATTAAATTAATACACGTTTGATCGCAATGTAATATTCTTTTTATTAAACTCTTAATTCAAAAAAATGGTCTTTTCTTAAAATGAGCAATTCTAATTTTTAGGTGACAATATAGATAAAACTATTAACAAAATCACACACTACATCATGTTTTTGTTCAAAATCCACGTTCAACGTACAAAGTTGACATTACTTAAACTAATTATGTACAAAAACAACTGGACATATTAGTAAACAAATTTATTGATTACTTTTAGCATTATAAATTTTAAAATTTGGCTAATTTCCCCTTTTTACTTTCCTATCTGTATACAGATATAAGGAAAGTATAGGAATCATGATTTTTTTCGACCTCGAGTTTTCGACGGATTTTTACGTTTTGAGGTCCCCTGAATCCGTTTTGACTATTTTCGCGATGATGTCTGTGTGTGTGTGTGTGTCTGTATAACGCATAACTCATGAACCGATACACAGAAAAACACCAAATTTTAAACTTAAGCTTTGTTTCAGCGTCCAATGAGCTGATTAGATTTTGGGCAGTGTCGGAACATCTGGGGGGGTACTTTATAGGTGGTCATTTTTATATTTTATGGAATATATCTGTTATTTACGTTTGGAGAAGAAAATTCTTCAAATAAAAGTTACTTCTAATATAATTATCTATAATTTTTGTTTTATGCAAAATTTTCCTAAAATGGTCCGTATTCGAGAAATTTGACAAAATGTAAAAAACATAATTTTTTATAAAAATTGTTCAAATAAAAGTTGTTTGTAATATAATTCTCTATAATTTTTGTCTTATACATAATTTCTCTAAAATGGACCGTATTCGAGATATTTGAGAAAATGTGTAAATTTCGAAATTTGAAGAAAACTCAAAAACGGATAAAGGAAAAAACATTAAATTTTAAACTTAAGGTTTATTTCGGCCTGACGTGAAATGATTAGATTTTGGACAAAGTCGGAACATCTGGGGGGGTACTTTATAGGAGGCCGTTTTTATATTTTATGGAATATATCTGTTATTTATGTTTGGAGAAGAAAATTGTTCAAATAAAAGTTACTTCTAATATTATTATCTATAATTTTTGCTTTATGTCAAAATTTCCTGAAATGGTCCGTATTCGAGAAATTTGACAAAATGTGCAAAATTCTGATTTTTATGAAAATTGTTGAATTAAAAGTTGTTTGCGATATCGATTTCTATAATTTTTGTTTATACATGATTTTTCTAAAATGGACCGTAACGGAAAAGTGCTAAAATTAAATTTTTCTGTATTTTCGTTTTCAATGAATATCTATAGAAAAATGTTTCGAGGTATATGTATGTGTAAAATGTATATATCCTCTAAACATTTATAGAGATGCTGCAATAGGTTGTACAAAATAACCGGAAAATGCCTATAATAACTAGATAGGAAAGTCATGTGTTGGACACATCAGATTTTTACAATTATTATTCGACACTGGATTGTACCAGTATTTAAAGCAGTTTGAAGATCCTGTATGTAGAAGCTGTTGCCGGTTCATAAGAAAATATATAAGTAACATTTCATTGATAACGTTAACCTAATCTTGCAGGAATCATTAGTAGACCAAAATCGTATGCACATAATCGTGGGAGATATTACTATCGACTTGCTTGACTTAAACTCAATATTAACAAACAATTACCTTACAATGCTTCATAGTTATGGATTCGTTAGCATGATTAATAAAGCAACAAGAGTCACTGAAGATACATGCATCAATCATTACTTCATTAAGTGTACAAATAAGGAACTCAAGATGATGAATTCTGTAATACTAGTGAACGATCTTACTGATCATTATCCCATTCAGCTTGGCATTAAAACTCAACAAAAAAATATAGTAACTCAAAATAACCTCCCATATGAAACCATAGACAATAACAAGTTTCTCAAAATTTTCAAAGAAGCAGAATGGGATGATGTTCTTGTGCAAAATGATATTAATGTAGATATTTGTAGATAAACATAAGTTTTGTAATGCAATGTACTAAAAGGAAATATTTTAATAATAAAAATAAAAGTTTAAAACCATGGATCACAGGTGGCCTCTTAAATTCAATTCAAAACAGAGATAAATTAAATAAAACAATGTACTCTTGATAGAAATGTTTTAAAACTTACAAAAAATATAGAAAAACATTTTCTAATCTAATCAAAAAAGCTAAATATACCCATTATAAAAATCTAACATTAAAACATGCGAATGATCCCAAAAAAATGTAGAATGTAATTAAAGAAGCCACTAATGACCATAAAAGAGAAAACGAAATTAAAAGCATCATGAATAGTAATAAGGAGGAAATCTTTGACAAGAAAGATATAGCCAATGAATTCAACATTCATTTTAATAAAATTGGTAAATCATTAGCCAAAAAAATAGTACATTGCGATATTGAGAACAAGGTTAAATCAACTCGAAACTCTTTCTATTTCACTCCAATATCTGACAATGAACAACTCATATTACAAATAAATAGCCTGAAAAATAACGGAAAAGGTGGCCAGGATAATATTAGTACTAACATAATTAAAAACGCCCATGCTCATTTGTTGAGTCCATTAATAGTTATTTATGCAACAAGTGCAAAAAGTAAGTGTTTATTGCACGCGACGTGAAATTGTCCAACGAGGCCGTCAGGCCGAGTTTGACAACACGTCGAGTGAAATAAACACTTTTTGCACAAGTTGCATACAATATTTTTTCTACATTCATGCAAAAACCAAAAAATGTTTTATAGAACTTCATTTGTATTATCCAAATCATAGTAGCCGTGATCGTGTACTTTTGTTTAAGGCATTTATTTACGTTTATGTTCATAATTTGTAATGACATTTTTAATAAAATACATTTTTTTATTAATTTATTTATTAAATGATTGAAAATAATATAAAATATGCAATTGTTTTTAAAACGTAACACAGAAAATGAAAATGGACTAAATATTTGGCGTTGATTTGAATATTTATGTTTGTCATGATCATAAAACACTGTAGTAAAATGACAGATGAGTGCAATAAAATTTTTATTGCACTAGTGCAATAAAGATCCACTTTTTTCACTAAATATAGTTCAATAAAGTTTTGTTTTTTGCATGAACGTAGAAAAAATATATTATAAATAACATCTTTAGCTCAGGAATCTTCCCTGATAAGACTTAAAAGCGCCATAATTGTTCCATTATACAAACAAGGTGATAAAAAATCACAAATCATTATAGACCTATTGCTTTAACAAGCACCATTAGTAAAATTATAGAAAAATGTATTAGGCTTAAGTTGTTGCCATTTAAAACAAGTATAATTTAATCAACGAAAATCAATATGGCTTTAGGGATGGTTCCTGTATTGAAGATGCATTGTGCAAGGTATTTAGTGAAATTTTTCAAAGATTGGATCAGGGGAATAAAGTGATTAGTATATTTCTAGATTTGGCTAAAGCATTTGACACTGTGGCACACCAAATGCTACCAGATAGGTTACATCACATTGGTATAGCTAATAATTTAATTAAATAATACTTAAGTGATAGATTCCAACATGTTAGATTTTAAAAGGAGTTAAGTGAGGAACTTATAGTAGAGTTTGGTGTGCCACAGGGCACAATGCTAGCACCATTGCTATTTAATATATATGTAGATGTCCACTATCAATGAGGAAAGTCTACTATTTTACCGATGACACAGCTGTCATAATAAGCGGGCAGCATTGGCTGATAATGTTAAAAAAGGCAGAGATGGCCATGTTTAAACTAAAAAAAAGGTTGGATAGTAGTCTACTATCCCTAAATATCGATAAAACAAAATTTTTGGCTTTCTCACTTTCGGCTAGAACTTCTCCTAATTTTCACAAAATCATTCTTCATGACCAAACATGTCAATTAAATAATAATTGTCAGTGTAAAAATACTATAAATGATCCAATAACATTAAATACTTGGGAGTACTCATTGACGAAAATCTCACATGGAAAGATCATATATAATATGTCACTGGAAAGATTAGAAAATTAATTTCTAAATTCTATGAATTATGTACATTCTATCTCAAAAAATTTTAAAAGCTGTCTATCTCTGTCTTGTAGAATCAATCATAAACTATGGGTTAGTTGTTTGGGGTAATGCTGGTAGTACACTTGTTTCTAAGTTACAAATTGCACAGAAATACATAATTAAAATTATTTTTTTTAAAAACAGAAGATATTCAACCGAACTGGTTTATAAAGATAGTAATTTACTAACTTCTTATTAACTTTATTTGAAATTGATAATCAGATTTATGTTAAAAACAAACCATTTTAAACAAGGATTGTCTCATAGCATTAATACTAGACTGGCTGCTAAAAAAGATTGATAGCTTCAAAATCCTAAACATACTGCATGTTAGAACCATATCTATTGTGTAGGTCCTAAGGTATATAATTGTTTAACACAGGAATTTAAAAAATAAGTCATATAAAATCAAAAATAGGATAAACTAATAGATAGTTGAAACAAATTTTTCGATTACTTTTATAAATATAACATCCTCTAATCCCTCGTCTAATCCTAAAATTTATTCATTTTCAATATTTGCTTCTCTATTAATATTAGATCATAGCAAATGTGATTTATATCTAATTAACCTCTTCCTGAGAATGTATATAAGTTTCATTAAGCGATAAAGATAATAAGTGCACACACAGCATATTAACTTGCCATTGTGCATTGAATAGCTATTTATTTTCCTTTCCCTTCAATAATGCAACCAGGAGACAAGGTTTAATTAATTCCTAGCAATGAGAGAGAAAAAAGAATATTCAAAATTAGACCATTAAAAGTTTTGTCTTCTAATTTATAAGTTCTTGATTACTTGGAATGTTAAGCTATTAATGAACTTAAATTGCACTGTTAGGTAATTATGATACCTTGTTTATATTTAAGTTATTGTGTATATTTATGTAATAATTTGTAATTTAAATTACTGTAAACTGAATGACAAATAAATAAATGTTTTCATTATAATAGAATTTGAAAACTCCTTCAGTCAAAACAGCTGTAAAGAAAACTTCAGAATAAAGGTCAAAGTAGGGTGACCAGATTTAAACTTGACAAAACTGGGACAAATGCTTAAAAATATCTACAAATTATTTTTGATTGACATAAAAACTACATAAGTAGATGTGATATACAGCAATTTAAAAAACGGGACAATCCGGGAAAACGGGACGTCTGATCATTCTAGGTCAAAGGTATATTGCTTTTGTGTTTGAGAAAACTTTCTGTAAAGAACATGGAAATGAAAAAGACAAAAAAAAACCCATTCAATTTACAATGAAAAACGTAGAATAAATAAACATGTATTTAAGTATCCTCCTTAGACATTAAATTTTCAAATATATTAATTTACATATACCTAATGTTACTTAGTTTTTTTTATACTTAATACAAAATAATGAGTTATGTAGAGGTATTTAAGATATTTTTCATTCTATTAGTGGATAAGGTAAAATAGTGTTAATTTTTCAAATTATTAGAATTATCTTAAATCATATTGAAACAATAATTAGGGTAACAATTTTCATTGATTAAATAATTAGGAGCTTCTAAGTGAATATTGTGAAATATGTAATTATTGTCGATAGCAAAATCAAAGACAAAATACTAGTTGGTATCTAGTATTTTACATAACAAATTTAAAAAATAATGAAACTCACTGTTTACATATTCTAACCTTAAAATATAACACTTACCCTATTAATAAGCGATCTGAATAACCCAGCCATTATTATTGGAGTAATCTAATATGTGTTTAATTAGTAATTATAAATTTAGCGAACTTAAATCTTGTTTTTAATTTATTTTATGAAAAATAAAATTACTTGTAATGAAATTTATTTTGACATCGCTAAATGTCATGAAAATAAATGTCAAAATTTGTCAATGTCAAAAACTTGGAACAAACAGTTTCTCCAGGGTTGCCAACTTTTCAAATTCCGTTTATCGTACCGCGCAATTCAAATTACCGTACATGACCTCCTCAATACCTTACACTTTTAATTTAAATATTTTGTAGAGCTTCTAAAACAAAATATCCTCATCATATACCTATTTTAATCTATCTGGTCCTTCTACCGAGCCTTAAAAAAAGTCCATACCAGGTCCATTTAAAGAACATGAGTTGTAAAAAGATGAAAATGTTTTACATTAGACAATGCCATTTTAATCTTCATTAAGGCCGATTCCACCATTGTGTTAAACTGAGATTAAAATGATATTGTTAATGTAAAAATGTAATTTTAAACTTCGTTTAACACAACGGTGGAATCGGTCCTAAGAATTTAAACTTCGTTTAACACAACGGTGGAATCGGCCCTTACACAACTCAAAGTCTTTGCTGATTCTATTCAATATACCGTCCGTTTACCGTACATTAATCGAAATTACCGTACGGTTGGCAAACCTGGGTTCAGAAAGAGAGAGTGAAGCGAGTTTATAGGCAATTGTTGTGTTCTTAACAATGAGGTTGAATACTATACCTCCATGGTTCTTAACACCTATAACGACCGATTCCACCGTTGTGTTAAACGAAGTTTAAAATGACATTTTTACATTAACAATGTCATTTTAATCTCCGTTTAACACAGCGGTGGAATCGGCTCTAATGGCCAAACTTTTTAATTGCAAAAAAAAATAGAACAACATGCATTTATTATATATTTAATAAGCTAATAAACACTTGTTTTAATGAAATGACATGTGAATATAAAAAAAAATAAAAATAGATAATATTAATAATAATATCAAAACCAAATTGAAAATACAGCAAAGTTATGTAATAGCATACCTTCTGGAAGAAATACATGTTAAATAGGCACATTTTTAAAGAGATGATGGTACCTGAACATAATTAATCTGACGTTTCTCCCCTTTTTAATATTATGAGGGTTTTTGTAATTGAACTGAAAATTATAATTTATTTTTGGTCCTAACAAAAATTTAAACATAAGTTATCAAAGAGGAAAATAAATATAGAACTTCATAATCTTAATGGCCTATCAAAAATTATTAATGATAAAACTTCAAACAATAATTACATTCTTAAACAAATTTCAAGTTTTTGTATTGCAAAATATTTTTTTGCCTTCTTCAGTTGCCTCTGCCATTTTTCTTATAGGAGTTTCGAGAAGAATTTCACTATGAATATCAGGAGAACCATCAATTGGTTGGTAACATTTTGATATTTTGGGTCTGGTAAGGTCTTGTTAAACTTTCCTATTAAATATATAGCTGCACGCATTTGAAGAATAAAAATTTAATGTTAGAGTAAAAGCTCTTAAATGATAATTATATTTCTGAGAAGGTCGTTTTAATAATATTTTCAAAAGTTTTTGGAATCGTTAACAGAAGTATGCAAACAAATATGATTTTATTTTTAAATCTATGATACACACAATGCACAATCATATAATATCATCGTGCTAGAACAATAGCAGGTAGGTACTGAGACAACTTAAAAAAAGTAATTTCGAGTAAATTAACTTTTAATGCCATAATAATTGCTTAAATTAATGAAGTCTTTTTTGTAGTTCGTTGTGATTTGTTTAATTATAAAACCTACCGTGTATGTCATTGGGTGTAATTTTTTTTTTAATTATGTATTAAGAGGTTCTAATAAAAAGCATACTTTCAAAAATTTTCTGGATTTCTACTTTAGGTTATCGTAGTATTGAATTAAATATATAATTGTTCATTAGATCGCTATTTTTAAATTGAGCATGCTTTTGTATCTGAAACGTGTGGAGGATGGGTTAACCCACGGCATTTAGGTCTTAGTGAGCCCATTGTGCATCCTCTTAAGTAGATAGGCACCTCCTAGCTCGTGAGCCAGCCTACAAATTGCCATACTTAAAATGTTCTAGAAGTTGACCAAGTATTCTCGAAAGGTTTACAATTTTGCCGCTGGAGCAAACCTACTTTCTTGCTATTTCCAGATCTATACGAGATTTAGTTTCATCCCTGTACAATCTTCGCCTCTAGTAATAGCCATAAATTATCTTCTACAATAATTGAAAGTTCCTAGCTTGCATAAACTTTTTGTTAAATATATACAAAAAATATTAAAAGGTATCGTAAAAATAATTTTTATATTTTAAAATAAAACACATTTTATCTTGGTCAAAAGGAATATTCTCTTTAAGTGTTTTAGGGCCGATTCCACCGTTGTTTAAATTACTAAACGAAGATTAAAATGACATTCTTACATTAACAATGTTCAGTAATTTAAACTTTATTTAACACAACTGTGGAATCGGCTCTTAGGTAAAGTCGTCATATATTTAGATTTAAGAATTCTTCAGTCATTATTAATTCACGCATATTTAACGTCTTTTCAATCAATATGAGGATCTAACGCAATTTACCCTCATTTTAATAATCTACCTATACGTAGGTAATCTTGATTATCAGAATTTCAAAAAATCAGCAAGAAATGTAAATTTCACTCAATGCGGCAACACGGCCAAAACCACGCAGAAATTTTTAAGCCGAAACTCCGTTTCTATCTTAGGTGGCTTTGGTTTCAAATGAGTTTATACTACAAGTTATGACCAATCAGAATACTCCGTCAAGCGTCTACTTTTTTCTTTGTCTTAAAATTTTAAAGATTGGCTAACAAGAAGCCATTAATGATGAGTGTTTAGTGAAATATGTCATAGAAAATAATATACGGTAAGTACATATATTTATGCACTTCAATATAAGGCAAAAGATATTTATTTTATCAATAATTCAAATAGGTAATATCTGGGGTTGTGCTGTATACTTACATACTTAGGTAGCTGCGTTATACTTAGTTGAATATTGCAATTTTAGATAAAAAGATGTAGGTAATAAATGAAACTATAATAACCAGCTTCAAACCGCGGTTTATTTTAGAGAAATTGTAGGTATTAAATATGTTATTTTAAAAATTGTTAGTGGTCGGTATTCTTAAATTTATGTTTGAGCAAGTTGAGTATACCCAGGGCCAAGGTACCTACCTTACACCACCTAGGTGTATTTTAGCAGTTTCTTTAGCTAATAACAAACATTTTTATGGTCAAGTATATCTGAAATGAAAGTTTTTTTTCAAAAGACCCTAAGAACAAAAAATATTGACTATAATTTTTATAAAACACCTAAATCTTTTTTCTTGTTAATGACTTTTTATTGACACTTTTTGACTAGAATAAATTATTAATAGGTATTTTTTCTTTTTCAGCTTGTGTTCTGGTGTTCCAGCGACGTAGATTTTTCGTGTAAAGGTAGGAAAATGAATGCATTGAAATAAATAAATAGCAATCGCAAAATTTAAATAGGTATACCTAAATATTTAACGAGTAATTAATTTTATGGGTTTAAAAATTATATAGATCCACAGAGAAACTGTTTTATAATTATTGATTTTTCTCAATATATACGAGGGAGAGGCGCAAATATATGGGGTACTTTTAATCAAAGAATAAAAGTAGGTATTTTAGGTACGTTTTGTATAAAATTGTTAGGATCTATTTAAAAAAAAAATTGTTTTTTGCAGAGGTAATAAAAGTGAGTTTTTTTGCGTAGTCGTTCAAAATCATTAAAATTATGCATATAACCTTTTCAGATTTTGATTTAAAGTATGAATTAATCTAATAATTTATAAATAAATATAGAGCTAATTTATTTTTTAGCTAAAATTATATTTTTGGGCTTAACTGGATTTTAAAAATGTCGGTAAACCCCTAGGTTTGTTTTAAAGTTTTTGTTAAAAAAACATTTTAATACATACTTGTAGTTGTAATTAAATGAAACTATTAAATTACATTTCAAATGAGGTCTTTATTTTTATGTCGTTGAGTCAAGCTGATACAAGATAAGATAGCATATTTATGTCGCATACTTAGAATATATATAGTCAGGAAGGAGGAATCCTAAACGCAGAGCCGGCGCTAGACATTTTGGCGCTCCGGACAAAACCTTAATTGTACGTCCCCTCCGCGTTTTTTTAAAGTTAATCTCATGCGTCCATATCAGAGAGTCAAGAAAACATTGAAAAAAAAAAAAAATAAAAAAACCGTTTTATTAAAAACTCAATCATCAGATAACAAGATAATCAATTTAGCACTCAAGGCAAAATAACAAAAATTAAAATGTAGTAATGCTAACTAAACTAATATCCCATATTATAAATTAATTCTAACTAACCAAAGTAATTAAAATGCCATTTTTCTAATTTTTCTTTCGGCAAACTCACGAACCAGTGATTTCAAGTCTAATTTGTCACTTATTTGGTGTTCTGTAGCTATCATTGCCAATCCATTGAGACGATTTTGCGTCTGTATCGTTCTGAGATAATTTTTTATTATTTTTAGTTTTGAAAAGCTTCTTTCCCCTGAAGCCACAGTGACTAGCAATGTAAGTAGGACTCTTAACGCTATGCTGAGGTTTGGTGCGAATTTAAGTGTGGCGATAAACTTAAGAACTTCAACAGGGGTTTTCTTTTTTGTTAATAATGACGAAACAATGCTTATTTCATCGGCTAGCTCCAGGGCGTTAAGATCGCTTGAATTTCCATCATTTAAAACTATTTCCAAATCTTTGCAATGAGCCAGTAGCTCATTTCTGGGCATGTCTTTTAGACCAAAAATATTATACAAAAAGCTGAAATAATTACTGTGAGTATTTAGCAAATTATATCTAGTTTCCAAGGCATTTATTGCTTGATCTATAGTGTGAAAAAAAACTATTTTCCCTAGATATGTAGCTTTGATTTCTTCTTTATTGATCAAACTCAGCCAATAACTGAATTAATTTCAAAAAGTTTCCATTATTGTGTTCATACAGTTTATCGCTTGTTCCTCGAAAAGCTATAGAGCTCTCACCTAGCATTTTAACGACTAATATAAT